AATATCACGCAGTGCTGACGTTCAAGTCGGCATGGAACAGAGGGTTGGCGTCTCAAATTACTGCAGCTGAGTTCGCAGTGCAACGGCGCGGAAGTTTATTTATGCTCACATACCTCTGGTTAAACCAAGGGCGGGGATATCACTACCCAACGATGTCTAACAAGCCAGAAACGGTGTTTCTAGCGTCGGTTTCCATATGACCACCTGCTCCAAGGCAAACAAAACATGCTCTTTATCACGAAATAAAGCGAATATTCGCATTCCTGATGTGTTTAAGGTTATTCGATTACCGTAAGCATGGCATTAAGAACGTGTCAGAGGCAACCGAGCGCATTGCTGCGGCGAAGTTGAACTTATAGCCCGGTTCATGGATGTAGACAGCTATGTCTATCGGAAGTAGGCTGTCCTTACTCCTTTTTGCTCGAGGTGGAAAAGTCTTTGGGTCCCACCGTCTAGCATCCTCGTTCTCCTATTGATCGTTCTCTTATTGGCCGTAGCGGCGGTTATGCAGACTTCTCGATGCATAGCTCGAGACTATTTAGAATTCCAGAGGCTTCAAAACAAAATATAACTCGGTTTCTATTCTTCATGTATTTTTTTCTGGGATAACTGTACTGCTGGCCCCTGCAGCGATTTGACTGACCGCATTTGCATCTTTTTCTCCAGATTTTCTTCGCTCAGCCCCGTTGTATAAAAACTTTCTACTTACAGTTGTTAGTAGTAGACAGTGTTTCGTTTCTATGCGCTTTTCTACATCCCAACAATAACAAATGCGTCTACATGCTAAGCAATACTTTGTAAGAGTTTTTCGCTAAAGAGAACTTCCTATTTATGACAGTTGACCGCGGTATTTTCTTCACCAGCTCAAAGTTTTGCGAAACCTGCGGGTTGTTCCCTGTGGGCAACATTTTACGATGCACCCTTTCTCTTGTCCACGTTAAAATGACACTGGTCTGTCGAGTTAAACAAGTTGGGAAATAAAATGACACCTTCAGACCCTAAGTCGTCGTCTGTCATCCATCGAGAGAAGCATACCGGGCGTCATACTGATTAGCTGGTTATACAAACATACCCTGAATTGAGACCATCTCTTTTAAGTTTCCGAACTGGGGGGCGAAAGCCTGGGCGGTGGGAATAGTTGGTACGTTCCCCCTCCACTATACATCTCCATGACGTTTCTCCTTATCCTCCTTGCAGAATCCCGGCTCTGTTCCAGTCCCCCTGCCAGCTGTGCCCCCGCCTTCCTCGCCTTCCGCCACGTCAAGGGCTTCCAATCCCGCGTGAGTTTTTTTTAGTTTTGGTCTCCTGTTTTGGTCCGCAATCAGTTGTTTTTTCCTCCCAACAACTGCGCCAAATGTATCCACTAAGGCACATTTGGTCTGCACTGCCGTAGGCAGTCTATGGGTCATCCTCTTTCTCCTGCTCCATCTGGGATAGCTAAAGAAGAAGAAGAGATGATCTCTTCTGTCTCCGTAATAGTTTTCAGTTGTTTGTTGTTCTCGAAGCTGGGGATCCTACTTCTGAGTTTGACAGCGTTGCGAAATACCCGTAGTCACCCTAATCTAGCATGTTTTAGTCACGTTAGTTTGCTGGCTGTGTAAAAGGCTTCTTTCTGACCGCCTTGAAAAATTACACGCTATAAAGAATAACTACTTAAGTATGCATTTTCCAGTTATTTTTAATGCCCTTATAAATTCAGATACATTTTATAGAAACCATGCAAGGAATTGTTCTTTTTTGTACTCGTTTGGTAGCAAACGGTGTATGTGCATCAGACAGCACAAGGGAATGCTGAGTAACCTAATAAGAAGCCGAACTCCTTGCAGCGTTAAGATATCCACGAACGCTTATGTGGGCCTTTAGTTAGTACTCGTGATGTCCGCATTAAAAATTATGCTGCATTTGTATACTACTGACTACGTATTAAGAGTTTTTTAATTTATTACGCGGTTATGCCGCCGAAGCTGACGCTTTGTAGTTCCACTTTCCTATTAGGAAGGCAGATTTTGCCTTAATTTGAGTTGACCCAATTGTGAAAAAACTCGAGGCGTTCGGTGGGATTTGAACCCGTGTAGTAGAGAAGGCCTTTACCGGAAGCCAACGCTCTAACCATTGAGCTACAAC